ATTAAATAACATGACATAACATGAAATAATATTTACTGAACAATTGGATTTTTGTTGATACGAAGAAATATTGAGAAATGAAATGTAATAAGATGAATAATTTTTGTAATGAATAAATAATATCTGTGAGATTCTTTTACAGATTCGAAGCGCAGTTTTCAAATGTTTCGGTTGCAACTTTTTCTGTTCTGTTAGCTTTATATAAAGTTATTTGCGTTATTGCTCGCGAATTTCGCGAGCTATTTGCGAGCTAATTCCACATACGCTGCTCATGCTGACGGAGAATGCAATTTTGGCCAAAGCAGGGGCTGGATATACATATAGCGAAGATGTATTAAGCCTATCGATGATGCCTCGGTCGATAGGTAGGTACCGTAATTACGGTAATGTTATGCGAGCTAATTGGAGGATTTTGTGAGAACCGATAAAAACGAGATTGCTCGGCACCGAAGTCGAGTATTATATATCGGATATCCAAGAAATTGGCTATCGGCGTATTCCGGCCCGATCGTTATTACCTCCAAACAAAAAAGATCAGGAAATCATCCGCAATATAATCTAATATAATTTTTTTGGCAGTTCTTTTCTCGATCGTATCCCAACACTAGTTTCGTAAATTAAGAATATATTCGCATTATCGGTCGTATGCGAATGTTACTTGCCATCCAATCGCTTTTTATCGATCTCGCGGAACATTCAATCTCAAATTTGCGATATATCCCTTTTCAATTATTCCTTTCAAATTTAATTCAGCGACCAATTTATTTCTTACCCCAAATATAATACTTAAGATCAGGCAATTTAACCTGAAATCAGAAACTTCACTTAACGGTAATATACTTAATGGAGTAATAATGAATAATATTGCAAAAATGGATTAAAGGTAATAAATATATTACTTAAATACATTACAGATTTTGATATTATTCTTAGAAAATTCAAATGGTACTTTATTGACTTACTTTGGATCCTCTTGGATCTTCTTCGTGAAATGTATACAAATTTAGATCTTTTAAAAATGAAGAATTAACTTTTCAATTACGACTTCGCTAATAAACAAACGGACGCCGCTTTAACCTCCGACTGAACAAACTTCTGTTACGACAACTAGTTAGGACGTCGTGTCGTACTCACAGTCGTCGACTCCCTTTTTCTACAGCGGCGAGTTTGAAAGGAACAGCTAACAAGTAGTGTAAGTCGCGGTAGAGGAAGAGGGAACAGACGGAGAAAAACAGATGGCAGCAACGACGAGAGAGAAGAATATTGCACTGGGAGATCTGCGGCCGTGTGGTAGTTACTTCTCTCGTAGCGTTACGAAGTTACACCAATCCTTACAACGTTAACGAGGACATGAAACTAAAATTAGAGAACGAAGAGGATGTAATAATTCTAATTTTTAAAAGAGAAAACTAGGAGCGAAATAGCAACTACCATTATTTATCATTTTCAAGAGATATATTTATAATTGACGATATGTACACACATATAAATATACATATAATAATCTGTAGTTGTATGATTCACGCTAAATATATGAGAAAATGAGAACAAAGTTTATTAAATTAATAAGTTATGAAATCTGTTAAATTACAGTTCCTTTTCGTTGTTTTTTTTTTTAAAGATTAAATATGGCTAAAGCAGTAGTTCTGTATTCGCAACATTCGCAGATATAACAATTGAGCAATACACTTTTAATAAAACGAGTGCTCTTTGGAACGTTGCTCTCATTCTACAGCCGTAGAAGTAAATAACCGGCTTTAAGTCATATGCATATGGGCAGACCGGTTGGTATCGTTGCTAGAAAACTACGATGACTAAGAGTTACTCTTTGTTAAAATCATATCGCTACCTACATTACATCTACGAATGTGCTAGAAGGCAAATTTAAATAAAACCTTGGGGATCGCATATATGAGTACAAAATTGGCAATTTCAGCTATCCAATGCTCGGAGAGTTTATAATCAGGGCTACAACTACACTTAAAGAGATACAAACAGGCTTTTATATATAAAAGAATATAAATATAAATGAAAGATATAAATAAAATTAATTTTCGGTTATTTTTATTTAGATTAAGTATTTTTATCTATCTCAATTTAACTTTTCATTAGCACTGCGAACCGATCGATTTTTTTATTAATTTTAATGATAATGATAATGATAATATTGACGAATTAAAATACACGATATAAATTTAAAGCGCGCTATTTAACTCGCATTTATGTTTCAATGATACATTAATATTATGAAATAGCGTCGACCACGACGTCGATTAATAACGTCACGACGAGTGTTCCACGCCGCGACTCATCTTCCTTCATTACCGCGATTTGCATGACACAACGGCGAATTAAGCAGCCCCGCCGTGCGACGGTTGGCGCGGCGATTTCGGTATCGTGCCGACGTGTTTTACGCGATACGATACGTTTTCGGGGATGCGGACTCATCGTCCGTGTCGCGTAGGTGCGCGCGCGAGCATGCGTGCGTGCAAATGCACCGGCAAAATGGTGTTGCGAGTGGGTGGCACGTACGTGTTCGGCAGTGTGCAATGTCCCGCGGCGACACGCCAAGGCGACGGTAAACAATGTGAGCATACATTACTTACACCCCGCCCAGTACTGGCGCATTGTGCATCCAAGTGCGCGCCAAGTCCATCCGCACCTTATACATACCCATCCCATCTTCTCTTTCCTCCCCATTGGCCTCCATTTCTTTTCTACTTTTTTTTTTTTTTTTTTACTTTACTGGTTAACATTTGGAATTCTACTTAATTATATTTTCCATTTACACGGAAGTAAAATGTTAAATTATGTACTTCAAAACTTTGTAACTTCTTTTCTTTCGTCTTCTTTTTTCCTTTCTCTAGATCTGTTTTGAAGTATTTTATCAATTTAGATTTGATTTCCTCTTCTTTTCTGGCATGTATCAATATGATATAATAAAAATTTAATCTAATAGATACATGTTTTTTTCATTCACTTCACTTATTTTTATTATGGAACTGTTTAATTTTTAATCATTATCATTCGTTATTTTATTTTTGCTTAAAAACAATACATTTTTAGATTCTATAATATTTTTATCTTTTTGTTAGTGATGTAAATATCGCTATTTATCAAAGGTAAAAATACGTATTAGTGAGTTTCTATAAATGTGTATTTCGATTCTTTGTCATATTTTGCCGCGTTACTTGAATCTCACTGCATCTCGTAATTGCTGTTTTTTGCTTTTATTCTTCTCTCACAATTTCGCTTCTTTTGTCATTTTAACATCTTTCTTTTCAAAGAATGTTTGTGTACATTACTTTCTTTACTATCGTCTTTGGAGAACATTGTCGAACAAAAGGGTTCAGTTTCTATAAAATCAAAGAAATTTTTCTTATGACATATTTACGAGAAATCATGTGAAATGATGGTTTTGTATTATGAAAGTAAAAATGTATATGTAGAAATTTCTTAAAATCAAGATTAACAATCTATGATAAATTAGAAGAGGAAATTTTATCATTCCTGATTTTTGCAGATTTCATGTAGTTATGAAACTCTTCTTCAAACATGAAAATAATATGAATTTTTTGTTTTTATTATTGATAATCATTCATACGTTGCAAACTATTTAATATATATTATACTTCAAAACAACTTTGTTTTTAATTATTTGGGCTAAGTAATTTTGTATTTGTATATGATAATAATTAAAAGGAAAGTAATTAAATATTTTAAAATACTAATTTCAGTTTGTATTAGATTATTCTTCATATTAGAAATATTTCTTAATTATTAGAAAGCAACATATATTATTATTATTAATTTTGGACTATTTCTAATTTGTGATCAACAAAACTGGATTTTATCACTAGCAAAGTAAACGAATATGAATATTTTTTTTACCACTGAATTTTTCCATTTATTTTTGACAAGACAAATAGTTTGAAATTTAAGCTTGTTCTGATTTATCGAAGTCGATTTTTATATTGAACCTAAAATTGGTACCGACGATGTTTAATTTGTGACACCTGTAGCAATGTCAATACCAGTAAAAATTAATTGAGATATATGCTCGTTATAACGATCGTTTTTTTCGCCATCTGTAGCACACGATAATTGATTCCTACAAATTGTGCGCCAACAAGAGGATGAATAAACTTACAATTTATTTTTACGCCTTTCTAATGAGTGTTTTGTTTGATAAAACAAGAGATAATATTATTTATATGTTTTAAGCTTATTAATTACTCTCTAGACGCATTTGTTACAAATGAAGATTTATTAAGATTATTCTATTTTTTATAATAATTTATATTATAATTTTTGCGAATATTTAATATAAATATTTGTTTAATATGTTTATTAAATTAATAAAAGACTTTACTATAAAAAACCGAATAAAACTTATTGTGTCAAAATGAAAATGTTTTTAATATCTAGTACTTTGAATTCTTATTTGCGATATACTAATAAGGACTATTTGTTAATCAAAAGTCGATTGTTTATATTTTAGTTAATTGGATTACATTTTGGTAATATATTGATTACTGAGAGAATTTTTATAGACAATTATAAGAAGTTAAAAGAAATTTTTGGATAAATACGAGATACCTGTGATATTTTCTCGAGTTGTATCGATGTCGTCTCATATTTCTAAAAGAGTATCTATTTCACGAGAACGTACGAAAAAAGATGTTATTGACACAATAATAACATTATAAGATACATTTGATTCGAGATCTGATTCTCTTTTCGTTTGAGGAAAAATCATAGTTTCAAACAGCTGTGAAATTATAAAAATTCAATTTTCTTGTCATATTGACTTACGAACTCTCATGTTTGTATTAAAATTTGTTAAACTTGAAAGAAGTTTGTTTAATTTGAATCGATTTGAATCATTTTTAATAATCATTTTTCTTAAAGCTTAGTAAACATTATAATGCAAAATATTACAAATTTACATTTTATATCTTCTTTGTGAATAAAAAATTAAAATTTTTGTACTTATATAATCCATTGAGAAAATCCTTCCTCATATTATCGATGCATTAAAAGATATGAAGAATGAACGATCATCGATCACGAGTAATTCCTGAAGTCGTGTCATTCTCACGCTCAAGAAGAAGATTATTGCTTCTTATTATTATGATTACATCAGTCTCTATATTAGGGAGGGAGAATGAGATCAACTCTCACAGAAATAATCTTATGAAGTATGATCTTAAAGTTTTGCTGTCTAGTACGTTGTAGATACGTTCTAGCTTGTGAAATTCTTACTAACACTTTGCTGTCACATTCGTCTGACAATCAAAACAGAAACTGAGAACTAACTGACCAGTCCGTATGAACAGCACTCAAGACCGGTTATCTATTTACAGCTCTAGAATGGGAACAGCATTCTAAAATGCATACGTCATATTATAAGTATACTCTATTATAACTAGACTTTTTTATTACACAACTGCAATTTTATACATAATGTTAAAAAATTTTAAAAACTGGATATAAAATTGTCTAATTGCTTGTCTTTACAATTTTTCTTTAATGTATGATATACAAATTGTCACTGTAAAATAATATTTTATATGAAATCAAGGCAGAAATTTATAATATTTATAATAAAAATTAAACAATAGGAGAAATGCAAAGTAATTTGCAATATCAATTTTACAACTCTTCAGTCTTTCTAATAATTAGCATAGTGGTAATGAAGAGATGTTTATATATTGTAATTGTTCATCGTTAATTCAGTATAAACTAAATTAAAGATTTTATTTAACGACAATCGCATCGAGCATGAATAATTAATATGAAAGAAAAATACTAAAAGGAGAATTCATGTAAATTGTAAATTCCTATGTATTTTATTAATATTTACACGAAATTACAATTGACGATTGCACATTTGCATATTTAACAGTATTGAATGTGTATGTATATATATATATATATATATATATATATATATATATGTGTA